ATCGATGTCCGGAGGAGGTTTCTGGCTGGTTTGGACCTGAGAGTACACCACATCACTCAAGGCGACTGAGGACTGCTTCCGCTGTGAGGAACTGCAGGAAGACTCTGGTAAAGTCCATTACAACACTTCTTAACGCAACATGAGCTGATCCATCAGTATTAACACTTGCGACATTAAAATTTGCTTGGATAAGGATAAGATGCCCCTTATTAATCACATAGGGAAATTCAGTTCACACAGCAGGAATGGGAACATATTAGTGCAAAAAACGAGTTCGTCGTTGTAAACGTAATCTTTTAATCAAGATACAAAGAATCTTACAAAATGTAACTCGCTCGTACTCACTATAACTGAGACAACTAATATAACACTTATAGCATAAGCAATGTGCAACGGTTACCCATGGTGTGCAATTTAAAATATTTAGCAAAAAACTACCCACTAGTCAATGTGCAATTTAGGATTAAATAATATAGTTTGAAGTTGAATTTAAAACAGTCTTGTAGTCAGCAGGGGGTGGAGGTACTGGGTTCTGTGGCGTTGTGGAGTCTGATGGCAAGATAGGTACAAACTAAAACCTCCAAACCATTTGCAGGCTCGGGGATACATCTGTGTGGAAAGTGCTCCTGAGTCTGCCTGAGCTCGTGTTAGAGAGGCGAGAGGATGACAGGGGTTGTCCATGATGGCTTTCAGCTTCCCTCTCATCCTCTTCTCAGTCACAGCCTCCACACTGTCCAGCTCCATTCCCACCACCGAGCTGGCCTTCTTTACCAGCTTGCTCAGCTTGTTGGCACCATAAGTCCCGATGCCTCCTCCCCAGCAAACCACAGCAAAGAAGATGACACTGGCCACTATAGACTGGTAGAACATCCGTAGTAGCCGAGTGCACACGCTGAAGGACCTGAGCCTCCTCAGAAAGAACAGCCTCCATCCAGTCCAGTTTATTGTTGAGGGTCACTCCCAGGAACTTGTAGGAGTCCACCATCTCTACCCTCTCCCCCCCTGGGGATAGAGGCCTCTTGCTGTACCGGAAAAATCTTGGACAATGTCTCCCACCCACTCCACAATGAACTGGTCAAACACAAGAGGACTTTCAGTGCAAGACTCATTCTGCCGAGATGCACCACAGAGCGGCACAGGAAGTCATTCCTGCCTGTGACCATGAAACTCTTCAACTCCTCCCTCAGAGAGTCAAAACTCAGTCACTGTCATTAAACTGGTGCTCCAATGTTACTGTGGTGTGCAATAAGTTGATTAAGGTGCAATACAATGTGTAATACACTGGATCTTTCTGTCATTCTTTGTAGATTGTAGATAGTTGGAGATTATTACAATCTACAATCTTTAAAACTCATTACTATTTAATTTCTGTTGCCACATGCTGTGGCATACATTTAAATTTACTTTGTATATATTAGTATTACCAAAGTATTTCTGATTCTGATTCTAGTTCTCTTCACCTTTGTTATGACTTTATTATTAGTTAACTTACCTACACAAACTCATCTGTCATTAAAACATATAGTATTATCATGTTGACTGTTGACTGGAATGCTTTAGTCTTTGTGCTCCTAAATACAGATAGTCTGATAGTCTGTGTATTTTACCTTGTCCTCTCCCCGGCCCTCTGTGTGGTAGACAATGAGGTGTTCTCTGGTATCAAAAGGAAGTTCAGTGAAGGTCCCTGACACTCCTCTGCATGAGCAGGTCACCAGAAAGACCGCTACGACTGAAAAACATAACCACAACAGAATTGAAAATCTTACACTTAATATATATAGGTGACAGGAAGGATTTTCTCTTATTCTCAGTTTTAGACATGGAGATTTTTATTTTTATTTGCCATTATTTTGAGATACTCTAAAACGACACTGCCCCAATGCAATAAAGGTAACTGAATACAATGTAGAATTTTTAAAATGACATAGGCTAGAGTTGTAGATTTGCAGGGGTAGTAATCCAAAAGAATCCTGCCCATCGATAGGGTATTTGTTTAAGCTACAAAGAGATTTTAAATTTTTATTCTTTTTTAACCACATTCCTAGATCATATAAGTGTATTTAATATGTATATATATTAATATTTAATTTTCTAGTCATGCTAACCCTACAACATACTCACTAAGCAGTGTCAGAAGTCCCAAGAACAATGCCCCCACTCCCAATCCTCCAAATGTAGAAGAAGATTCCTTGAGAAAAGCTCCTTGACCATGTAAACCTTGTGCTCTGCAGGTCTCTCCTTCCTCACAGGAGCACACATATAGGTCCAGGTACTGGGGGTCTGGGCATGCGAGGCCCTGCTGATCCTGGATGATGAAAGCAACCTTGTAGTGACCAGGCCACAGTGGTCTCAGAGCCCTGAGGGATGCGCGGGTATCTAAGAGCGAGACAGAACGAGAGGTGTCTTACTGGTCCAGTAGACCAAAGTTCTTTTTCCACTGTTGATGCACCCCTGTGTCATGAGAAATTGTTCTGTCTTGGGTAAAGGCACTGGATGAGACCTGTGTAAACAGGTGAAATTCTTGATTAAAATGCATTTTAATCGGCGCTATAAGAGAACTCACCTTGAAAGAAACATGAATGCCTTTAGTTCTGTTTAGAACAGGTGCACTTTAGCCTTTTGTGGTGGAAATTAGTATTACAACAAAGCAAAAATCTCATAATTTACACTGATCACACTGGCTTTATCAAATGTAGACAGACATCTAGCAACATGTACAGACTTTTCAATATGAAGTTTAAACCATTTGTGTGAACAGAAACCCTCATTAAACAGGTAATAATAAAAATTAAGGCACCATACCATTTGAAGGTTCAACCCTCCACTCCCCTTGGGTCTCCTCTGACAAAAGGCTGAAGCTGAAAGGGGCTGAGTTTGGGTCTCCATCCTCATCCACCACTGTCACGTTAATGACTTCAGTGTCTGAGCAGATGTACTCCACATCATTGGTCAGTGAGGGGCAGTTGTCATTTACATCTCCCACCTGCAACGCTATTGTTCCTGTGATCATCTTAGGTGGTGTTTCTGTGGGAATCAGAAAACACAAGCAGTCCACAACAGAAAGTTTGACAAACTTGGTGGGTGTTTATTCACAGTGTGATCAGCAGTAGTAGCAAAACGTTTACGTGATAAACAGAGCTTACCATCAGTTACACTTAGTATTTTAGCGTAGTAAGTTCCATTAACCAAGAACGGGGATTCTCTGTCTGGGTACTTCTGAAGTCTAATCTCAGCTGTTTCTGGGTCGATCAACAGCCAATTGTCAGGATCATAGCCTTTAGCATATCTGTGGGAACAGAGTGCAGCAACATTTACTTTACAGAGTATAATCACATCAGTCACATATTTTAATTTATCTACTGGTTATAATGTAATTTCTTCTGGCCTTAAATCTAGTGCAGACATTCATGGTGATCAGGGGATGGTTCTCAACTTTTCTGGTGTCAAGGACCCCCAAACAGATATAAAATGTAGTCTCAGGGATCCCTGTCTGATAAGATTTAGTTATTCCATACAGTATATTTGTAGATTAAACAGTGTAAAACCTATCAAAAGAATGGTCATTTTTATACATTCTCCCATTAGGCTAACTTCTAGTGAATGAAAATTAAAAGATTC